GCGATCGTGGTTGGCAAGGCTATGAAGGTTTCTTTGTTTCTTTATATGTCTACGAGTTTTATTTATGTATTTATTACTCGTAAACATAGGATCGTTTTTGTAATGTAAAACTAGGCCTTAAAGTAATAAATGTCCTTCTAGTGGTTGAAGGACGGGCCCGTGTGGTTTCGTAGATGTAAGTGCTTACGTACATAACTAAAACGGAATGCTTTTGTATATCTGAGGCAGCTGTTCGCTTCTCACGCTGTGGCGACCCGGTATGCAAATGTTGTTACCACATCTTCGCTCCCCATCCCGCTTTACGTACATCTCTACAACTCTACATAGTTGCCATGCAAACGTAGACTCTCCCCCATTCAAATTAGAAAGAGTAATATAACCAATGCTCATGAACGCATTCCGCTGCGTTTCCTATTGTACGGCACGTGGTGAATTTCTCGTAAGGATTGTTCGGTTTTCCGCCGGTTACGAGACGGAGTGTTGTCATACTGTCCTTATAGTGTATTTAGAACAACTGTTTAATATAAAAATAGCCTCACATACACGAAAACATTATGAGGAATACTGCATATTTTCGTAATTATAACAAAAAAAAATCGAAGATATGTGAAATCTGAAATCCGAAGTGGGGCGTGGATTATGCCCTAATACGCAATGTACAAAGAGTGTCTCTCTCTGTCCAGTCGTGAGACTCGTATAGGCTATTATTTTTTTTAACAAGTAGTTCACAAAGCCATTCCTCGTCACGTCTTCCATCCTTAAAACATGATGCATGTTTCAAATGCGACAGACTTTAAACGAGTTTCTGTATACTAAGCATAAATGGGTATAAATTGTTTTGACACCTAAAATCTATCGTTGTACTCTACTCGATTTCCACGGCACAAATCACGATTCACCGGTATAACTAAAGCTTACCTCTGCCTCTAATGATTATATTTGACCTTGAAACACGACATTCTCAGCTGCTACGTTTGTGAACAAGGGTCTCCACTGAAATTTTTCATCTATTACTATTTTTACCAGCCTTATTTCGTAGGCTTACGCTATGTAACCTTGTTTCTTTTTTTGAAATCGCTATATTCACATTAGTTTAAATGATAGAATTATGATAAGAATCTGACATAATAATAATAATAAATATAAACCCTCGGCCGTTTGGTCTCCCCTGCCGAGGGTTTCCGTCTGGTTAGGTCCTATTTATGTATGTATTATATTTATATAATTTTTCTATATTTTTTTTTCTAAAAAAACATTGCCTTTACTTTAGGATGATATTATCCTGTGTTGTAATGACGTTTTACAAACATATATTTCACGCAGACAAACATCCAGATGCGAAACAACTATCTGTGGGTCACGCAAATAGTTGTCCCGTGTGGGAATCGAACCCACGACCCCTGACGCCGAAGCCAATATTTTGGCAACTGCGCCACGGAGTCATATCTATATGTTTATTTTTTTTATAACATTTATTTTATATATGCAATATATATGTTTATTTCTATGTATAAACTCAACCAGACGAGAAAACAAATGAATATCCCCCCATAATAAATATTATACTTTGAATGCTCTACGAAATAATCCCCGAGAGAGGTTAATTTTGCAAATATGAAACCACGTACACTAAATCCAATCAAGTCCAAATTTTAACTTTTGCATCGTATTGTGTTCAAGCTCACAACCACGCACATTGTTAGAAAGTAATTATCTTGACATCGACACGACACAATTTGTGAGAATGAATATTTTAACGGAACAAAGATGTTCCGTTAAAATTCATTGGTTAAAATTCCAATCCAAAACAATGGTTTTTTTGATTCGAAACATTGAATGCAATGGACAAGGATTTCGTTTTATCAAGTAGACCATGTGAAAAGTTGCCAAGCGAGCAGACGGTCACCTGATGTTAAGTGAAAACCCCCGCCCATGGGCATCGGCTACCCCGAGAGTTCCAGATGCGTTGACAACTTTTTGAAAATTGGGCTCCGGCCAGCTCGCTCACCAGACGAAACGCGAAAGTATTATACTTCCACTTTTTCCGCCGATTTTCTGTGAGTCATGGTACTTACCCGGACAAGCTTGCCCATTCGTGCAACAATCGTGGCTGCTGCGTGGCCTTACTACCTACCAAAATAGAAGTGACGTAAGAGTAGATCTTAGTTTTTTATGTGATAAGTTAGCAAGTGTATCACTTGATTTTGATGTGTATAAGTGATTACCGTCACTTATACACATCTAAAGCCTCTGAAATATTGCAAATGCGTTGCCAAACGTTAAAAATAATGATAGTTACCTCACTCACCAAAAAAAGAGTTGAAAAAATTGACAAAAAGTTTTTAACAAATAATGTTTCATCTTTTGTGGAAATATTAGCGCTATAAAAATTAAATTTACAACTAGGTTGTAAATACTCGCACTCGTTGAAATATTTCCATCATAAATATTTTCTATTGAAAATTTAAATAACAATTAAGTTATAAACACCAGCACATCAACTCCTCCAGCCAGCTCAAAAAGCCTACTCACTCTTGCGTTGAAGTGTTTTCTATTCTTACTATAGATCGCTCGTAGCTTAACGTAGTCGTATTGGAAGGTGTTTATGCCGTGGCGGCACGTGCGTCGTAGCACCTCCCCCCCCCCCCCCCCCCCCCCCGCTAGCTTTTACGCCCGTCTTTACGCGTTCGGCCGTTTTATCGTTGCAGATTTAGTGGCGCTGCAGCACGCGCTTGCCGTATTGGGTATTAAAAGTAAATTCTCGATAAACCATAGGCATAGAACAGGTGACCTCAGTTGCGTAATCCACAGTGACGCTTTTCAACTGCAGATTTTTCGTGGTGGACTTCATTGATATATTCTTACCCATTCAATAGTTTAAAAATTGATTTGATGACTGCGTGGTGCACTTGCCAAGTTATTAGCACCGGGGTCACGGGTCGTGGGTTCGATTCCCACATACGTTCGATTCTGTGGGTCACACAAATAGTTGTTCGCGTCTGGGTGTTTGTACAGGTGAAATTTATGTATAGAAACACTGTAATTTTAAGCTACTTATAAGAATTATAACATGTATGGTCATTGCACTACAATAAATCAAAACAACCTTCTCTGAAATACATACATTTTGTTAATTTCGCGGAAAAAAGAGACTCTACCATAGCGTCCACTTCTATTTCTTCAGGATATCTATTCATTTTCTTAGCAGTTTATACACTTTGATTAGACGTTACCGAAGCTTTTTCGTATCTTAGTCACAGCCACCTTTCTTCAAAATGATTTACGCAATTACAAAGGTGTGATGTTGTACTGTTTGCTGACGATACATCGCTTATTTTTAAAGTTGACCGAAACGTATTAAATTATGACGACGTGAATAGTGCGCTTTCACATATCCTCCACTGGTTTACTATTAATAATATGGTATTAAATGCCAAAAAAACCAGATGTATTCTTTTTACCCTTCCCAGTATAAGAAGGAAAAGTTTTAGTTTAATATTAAATAACGTACCCATTAATCCAGTTGAGTCTGCTGTATTTCTGGGAATTACAGTAGATTCAAAGCTCCAGTGGAGTCCCCATATATCATCTCTTGCGAATAGGCTGAGCTCCGCGGTTTTTGCGATTAGAAGGGTTAGGCAGCTAACAGACATCGACACTGCCAGACTTGTTTACTTTAGTTATTTTCACAGCATCTTGTCGTACGGCATTTTGTTGTGGGGTAGTGCATCAGATATAAATACTATATTTATTCTTCAAAAAAGAGCTGTCCGAGCAATCTACAATATCGGAGCCCGGAATTCACTCAGAGATCTTTTCCAAAGAGGTTAATATACTCACTGTTGCTTCTCAATACATTTATTGTAATGTTTTATATATACGTCATAACCTTAATTATTACCTAAAGAATAGTGACAGACATAAAATAAACACTAGAAATAAGGACAAACTTACTACGCCATTGTTTCGTCTACAAAAAGTAAATAAGTCGTTCATGGGGCAAAGTGTACGCATGTATAATAAAATCCCACAGTCGATATTAAGTCTGCCGCTTGACCAATTTAAATGTAAAATTAAAAATCAACTGATGATTAAAGCATATTATACCATTTCGGAATATCTCGACGACGCCAATGTGTGGAGTTAATACTGTTGATACTCACGTAGGCTAGAATAAGACTATTATACCTGTATATTATATTGTACCCTGATATTTTTGAAAAAGAGCAACTGTTGAGTTTCTTGCCGGTCTCTTCTCAACAGAAACCGCTTTCCGAACCGGTGGTACCTTACGAACCTATACACATAATCTTTGATGTAAAATTTGACGATTCATAAGAGCGCGCAAGCGTCTATTTGAATAAATATATTTTGATTTTGATTTTGATTTAGAGGAAACGCGTATTGTGTACAACGGAATCCAATTGATTTGGCTGTATTCATTATATGTATATTATACGTGCTGATCGTGTTTTCATGAAATAAAGTACTTTATGAGCAGATGTTCACCCGAAGCTAAATTATTATCGCTACCCAATAACATCCGTAACACTCAGAAAGTTGCGTTGCAAAACTAACGAGTGTCAGGCGGATCACGTCACTAACTGATGAAGTACGAAATTGTCACTTCTAATTTACGATGAGACCGTGAGACTTTTTCGGACAAGCCTGACCATTCGCGAGAAAGCAGACGTCAACACGACTCTACCACAGTGAGTTACAAGAGAGTTTTGGTGCTACAATGATGTCGTTGGGAACGTGACTTGGTCGCCAGAAAGGAACCTCTACCACGCAGTCCTTTCGACTCTTTTACCACTAGGCTCTCTCTACCACGCAGTCCTTTAGCTCTATTACCACAAAAGTCTCTCTTTTCGGCTCCATAAAGTCTCTCTGCCACGCAGTCCTCTCAGCTCCATCACCTCCAAATCCCTCTACCACGCAGTCCTCTCAGCTATCACCTCCGAGTCTCTCCGCCGTCCTCTCAGCCGCCGCAGCATTCATAAATAGCTGAGGCAGAGTCCGTCGCGGCAGCGGCCGTTGCCGCTGGGCAATGTATTCGGAGCAAAACAATGCGCGGGTTGGTCGCGCGCCAGGGCGGCAGGTGCGGCCGACGGGCGGCGGGCTTGGCAAATTTTAATGAATGTCGCCAGCAAAGCGCGCTCGCTGGAAGCGGCAATGCGTAGCTTCGTCTATCTGCGTTTTATGCTAAAAATTGGCAAGCGAACAGCTGCTTCACCTTAAGTGATTACCGCCGCTCATAAACGTCTAAAACACCTGACGGATTGCACGTGCATTGCCAAAGTATCAAAGACCCGAACCTGCATCAAAATAATAAAATTTGCTTTTCTACAATAAAATATTTTTTGTTAAAAACACTATTACTTAATTTAAATTTATGGAAAGTTATTTTCAAATTTTTAGTTAGGTTATCTACAAAAGTTTTTTAGTTCTTTTAAAATATTATTTATTTTCTGTATTTTTGGTTCTTCTAACAAAAGCGTATTTTTATATTTTTTAAACACTTTTTAAACGAGTACTTGACTCAAAGACATAGCCGGGTAACTGATTTGAAAAATCGCTAATCCCGACGGTCCTGACCAGGATAAAAACAAACTATTTAAATTATTGTATTGTCATTGGTCCTTGATTAATTTGCAAATTTCCATTTAATTTGACGTTTTCAAAAATCACGTTCGAAAATTCTGTTACATACATACATATATACATAACAAGCTAATAAAAGCTTGTTAAAAACCGTTTAATTGTGCAAGTTAACACACTAGCTGAATATACTAACGAAAGGTATACTGCACACGAAGTTTTTGAAGTAATTAAAATAGCGAATAGCGTTTTCTACGCTTACGAATGACTTCTATATCACCGGCCCACGCCGCCTACGAGGCCACATCCAGTGGCTCTACATCGTCGACGGCCACCATGTGCCGCCGACTGGCGTGTTATATGGATTTTCATTTAGGAAATCGTATAATATTACGGCGCCTAGCCTGTCGCTAATGTGAATTTTTATGCTTAATCCGCCGAAATTGCCCGCGGCCACACGGCGCCTCCGTAGCCGGGCCCGTAGACGATTTATATAGGCACGCGCCCTCCGACCGCCGTAGCGTCTGCTACCGGAAGTGCAACGTCGTAGTTACCTAATAAAGGTAAGAACTCCTGCGTCTTTACTACCTCTACGGGGTGGAGATGGCAAATGTTATGCTCAGTTTATGGAACTTATAAACTTAAGTAAACTGAACAGAACCGGACTTATAACAGTAGAAATTTAAACGGCTCTATATTCATATGACGGAGAAAAACTTGTTGAAATCTATGAATCTCGCCTTAAAAGGTTAATTAGAGATACTTTATGGTAGCACTTCCAACGTTTCTTCTAGAATTGTTTTAATAGACCTTCGTTCAAAACTGCTTTTAAAAATGACAGGCCCCTAGTGGCACGTGGAAATCGGATATCACGAGTTTAAGTTCCAGTAGCCTTCAGAAGTATTGTTCCATCCTTACTAATATTATAAATGCGAAAGTTTGTACGTATGGATGGATGTTTGTTACTCTTACACGCAAATACTACTGAATAGATTTTAATGAAACTTTACAATAATATAGCTTATACACCAGAATAACACATAAGCTATAATTTATATACATATTTTTATATATATCAGTCGTTGTGTCTTTATGATATACCTTCAGCCTATTCTCCGCAGACTTAGTCGCGGGCAGCAGCTAGTTTTTCATACGTATATCTGAATTACGAAAATTTACATCATTGTCGCCAAATAGAAAAATTTCCACCGTCTTAAGACGACTGAATACACTAACTAGACTCGAGCATCTACAATCCTTTACTGCTTCATCATCCAAAACCAAATCACTTGTCATCAGAAGGAACAGGCAGAAAGCCAGTTGGGAAAATAAAATACAAATGGTATATGTCCTCCAGCATCGTATAGATTTGAGAGGGCCGTTACTTCAGCATTCACCATCTGTTACGTCAGTGCGTTTATTCTGGTGAAGTAGGTAGCCGGGGCCCACTCTGTTGAGAGGTGGCAACGCATCTTCAACCCTATGGGTGTCAATGTGCGGCGGTTACCACTTAACATCAGTTGAACAGTCAGCTCTTTTTTTATGTGAAAACGTGGCAAACGAGCTGATGTTTCATCTGATGTTAAGTGGTACCCGCCGCCCATGGACATTCGCAACACCCGTTGCAGATGCGTTGCCACATTTAAATAAAGTGGGCCCCGGCTGCCTCACTCACCAGACGAAACGCAGAAGTGTAACACTTCTACCTTACGTCGGTCTTCGGTGAGGCGGTGGTACCTACCCGGACGGACCTGCCCATTCGTGCAACAGTGTTGCGTAGCCCTACCACAATTGAAAATACTAAGCTCGCTTGATACCTTCTCACATAACAAAAAAAACCGACATTACTAAGCCGCTCGCCTATTCGGCCACCTTTTTCTCAAACATCGATAATTGTAATCCTTTCCCCCCGGGGACGGGGACGGGGGTTGGGGGGGGGCGGGGGAGGCAACATCTGCGCCGGCAATCCCTCGCAGCCGGCCTGTCAACCGCAGCCTCCGGGCGCGCTTTATTTATTTGAAGCGGCCAAATTGATTCGTTTGATATGCCCGTGTGTAATTTCGCTTTTGAGCGTTCCGCCTTCGAGGCGGTATACCGACTCTACGAGTGACGTTTCACTTTCGACTCGTGTGCAGGTGAAGGGCGGGGGACGAACGGGCAAGACGGCGAACGAAAGTCTACTGAATACTTGATAAAAGACTGCTGACATGTAAAACACGTTCGGTATACGCGTTGAATTGCTGTGGCTAAAAGCTGACTGGGTACCCCTGGTACTGTAACGTATTATACATATAAACCTTCCTCTTGAATCTGTCTATCTAGTAAAAATAATCACGTCAAGATCCGTTGCGTAGTTTTAAAGATGTAACCATACATGACACAGACAGACAGCCGGAAGACTTTGTTTTATACTATTTTATTATACAATACAATACAATACATTATAATACAATATGTGTTGTATAGTGGTGAGATATCTAATTTGTGTTCGAACGATGACCACCAATCACGATCACTAGACATGATGGACACGACCAGAAAGAAGAAGAAGTTATGGGGAGGAGGAGGCGATGTTGTTAAAAAATAACCCGTAGACCATCGTAGAATACAATTTTTTGACTACTTTTAGAACGCTACGAAAATATTAACTTCTTTGAGAAGGAACAAAAACTGGAGCAATTAACTTGTTGTTACGATTGGAAATATTTTGTAACGGGTTCCGAACCTACAATCGTGTATGGAATAAATTACAAACCAGGCCGATTGCACCAAGCAAAAGTATTTAAAGCCTCGGTCTACGGCAACATCTATGATTTTGAACAGAAGACAAGGGTGTCTAATTAGAGAATTAAGGGGAAACCACATAAATCCGTACAAAAGGTTAGGGTAGACTCTATCAGATACCTTTGCCCCTTATGTATTAGTTTGAAAGCGTCACGTTATGTAATGTTTTAACGCCACTGAAGTTTAGTTAACATGGGGAGGAACAAGGCTCTTTTATTCAATGATGTTTTAATAAATATAACGCATGTCCATACCGTACGGCGTCTAAAAATTGTTCTGCTTTACATTATATGACATATATAAGTGAATGCAACGGATGATATAGAAGGCATGATACGGAGATAGCAGTCTATAGAGTTGCAACCTAATTACACCAATTGGCGTAATTTGAATTCCTCAATTTCTGTGTTCTAGTGTCATATTAGATATTGTAAGTAGTATACCAATCATATACAAATTCGAGGCAGACCTCATATTTGTGTATAAGCTTTTTTTTTTATGTGAAAACGTGGCAAACGAGCTGATGTTTCATCTGATGTTAAGTGGTACCCGCCGCCCATGGACATTCGCAACACCCGTTGCAGATGCGTTGCCACATTTAAATAAAGTGGGCCCCGGCTGCCTCACTCACCAGACGAAACGCAGAAGTGTAACACTTCTACCTTACGTCGGTCTTCGGTGAGGCGGTGGTACCTACCCGGACGGACCTGCCCATTCGTGCAACAGTGTTGCGTAGCCCTACCACAGTTGAAAATACTAAGCTCGCTTGATACCTTCTCACATAACAAAAAACCGACATTACTAAGCCGCTCGCCTATTCGGCCACCTTTTTCTCAAACATCGATAATTGTAATCCTTTCTCCCCGGGGACTGGGACGGGGGTTGGGGGGGCGGGGGAGGCAACATCTGCGCCGGCAATCCCTCGCAGCCGGCCTGTCAACCGCAGCCTCCGGGCGCGCTTTATTTATTTGAAGCGGCCAAATTGATTCGTTTGATATGCCCGTGTGTAATTTCGCTTTTGAGCGTTCCGCCTTCGAGGCGGTATACCGACTCTACGAGTGACGTTTCACTTTCGACTCGTGTGCAGGTGAAGGGCGGGGGACGAACGGGCAAGACGGCGAACGAAAGTCTACTGAATACTTGATAAAAGACTGCTGACATGTAAAACACGTTCGGTATACGCGTTGAATTGCTGTGGCTAAAAGCTGACTGGGTACCCTTGGTACTGTAACGTATTATACATGTAAACCTTCCTCTTGAATCTGTCTATCTAGTAAAAATAATCACGTCAAGATCCGTTGCGTAGTTTTAAAGATGTAACCATACATGACACAGACAGACAGCCGGAAGACTTTGTTTTATACTATTTTATTATACAATACAATACAATACATTATAATACAATATGTGTTGTATAGTGGTGAGATATCTAATTTGTGTTCGATCGACGACCACCAATCACGATCACTAGACATGATGGACACGACCAGAAAGAAGAAGAAGTTATTGGGAGGCATGAGGCGATGTTGTTTAAAAATAACCCGTAGACCATCGTAGAATATAATTTTTTTACTACTTTTAGAACGCTACGAAAATATTAACTTCTTCGAGAAGGAACAAAAACTGGAGCAATTAACTTGTTGTTACGATTGGAAATATTTTGTAACGGGTTCCGAACCTACAATCGTGTATGGAATAAATCACAAACCAGGCCGATTGCACCAAGCAAAAGTATTTAAAGCCTCGGTCTACGGCAACATCTATGATTTTGAACAGAAGACAAGGGTGTCTAATTAGGGAATTAAGGGGACACCACATAAATCCGTACAAAAGGTAGGGTAGACTCTATCAGATACCTTTGCCCCTTATGTATTAGTTTGAAAGTGTCACGTTATGTAAAGGTAATGTTTTAACGCCACTGAAGTTTAGTTAACATGGGGAGGAACAAGGCTCTTTTATTCAATGATGTTTTAATAAATATAACGCATGTCCATACCGTACGGCGTCTAAAAATTGTTCTGCTTTACATTATATGACATATATAAGTGAATGCAACGGATTATATAGAAGGTATGATACGGAGATAGCAGTCTAGAGTTGCAACCTAATTACACCAATTGGCGTAATTTGAATTCCTCAATTTCTGTGTTCTAGTGTCATATTAGATATTGTAAGTAGTATACCAATCATATACAAATTCGAGGCAGACCTCATATTTGTGTATAATTGGTATGCGATAAATACTTTATAAACAAATGATAGAACGGAAACAATACTGTATAATGTATAATGTACTTAAAGATGTAATAACATACATCTATAATAACTTCTATACTTTTCTTGGGACAAAAAATTCCTATGACGTTTCTCGTTACACCTGTCATTCACAGATTACAGGATCAACTCGATCGTGGATACTTTGATTAAAGGAAAACATGTTTCTCGGTTACGACGAAACGTTTTGTAGCGCGGTCGCTTTAAATAGACTACATTGAAAACATTAAAGGGAGAATCTGTTTAATATATTTAAATCATCTTCGACGGCACGTTACTAACACTCAGACAAAAACTTTCTTTATAAAAGTACACAGCACGGAACAGGCGGGACACAGAAGGATAAATAAATTGTTTTTATGTTTTTTATGTGAAAAGTTGACAAGAGAGCAGGCGGTTCACTTGATGTTAATTGAATACTGGCGCCCATGGACATCTGCTACTCCCGAGGGTGGCAGATGCTTTGACAACCTTTTGAAAATTCGGCTCCGGCTACATCCACCAGACGAAACGCGAAAGTACTTCCTACTTCCACTTCACGTGCGTGCCTTCTGTGAGGTCTTTACTTACCCGGACGAGCCTGCGCAGTCGTGCAACAGCCGAAGCCGTTGTGTGGCCCTACCACAGTTCACATTACAGACATGGTGCCAAACATTAAAAATGTGGGCCCCGGTTACCCAACTTCCTCTGTGAGGCCGTGGTATTTCCCCAGTCGAGCCTGCCCATTCGCGCAACAGCATAGGTTGCTAGGTGACCCTACCACGGTAAACTTCCTTAGTACTTTATGAACTCTGTATTATCTGTACGCTCAACACGGCCCACCCTTGGCTGATTACTTCCTTCCTTCAAGCTGTTGGTGAGCTAACAATATTCGCCACTTTTCGTAAAATTCTTTGTATTTTTCTCTATCTTTGGCCATAGTGCAATATGTTCTGCGTTTAAATTAAGGGCGTGCCACATACTCAAATTCTCATAGTGAATATAACATACGGAACAATTATTCGTGAACAAAAATACTTGTCCGGTGTAAGCATCGAACCCACCTGGCGGTGGCAGTAGCGTGGTAGCTAATACTCGCGGCCATACGAACCTTCAGTTACACTTATAATAAAAGGCATAGACAATCTCCACCATACTAAATAATTTAAAAAAAAAACAAAAGTACACTGCGTTCACCAGCAACGTTGAAATAAAAAAAAATTAAAGTTATTTTTAAAGCGCCACATTATTTCTTCCTTAGTTATAATGTCTGTCAGTTGGGTCGAGTTTACGTATTTACATTTTTCACCATAAAAATCTACGAAATGAAATACATTGTTATAGGCTGTGAAGGTATAAACAAAGAAATGACAAATGATAATCATTGAGGTGGGACTAATAGTTTGAACGCTGTAAGTAAAGTACCTGGAGGACCGAGCTTTGCTTGTTTTTTTTTTTTTTGGTAAATCATGTATTTGGGCAATAAAAAAATAAAGAAAATGATCTGGTATAGAATAAAAAGTAAAAAAAATAAGTGTGTAAATGATCGTGATACAAACCGCGGCCGTCTGTTTTGGGGCCGCCCGATTACCGACCGAGCTATAATAACATTTTTTTTTGCGGCGAAATTTACTATCATATTCGAATGATATTTTTCATTCCCTGAAAACAGGGGTAAAAGGACATTTTCTAAAAATGAAACCTAGCTAGATCGCTTTTTCGCCCCCGAATCTACGCACATACTAAATTTCATGAAAATCGCTGGAGCCGTTTCCGAAATTCCGAATATATATATATATATATATAGATATATAATCGGAATTCTTGTATATATATATACAAGAATTGCTCGTTTAAAGGATAAGATAACAAAAGACACGCAAAGCATTGCTTAAAATGAGATTTTTGTCGGAAAATGTTAAAGCGCCTGGGCGGGAAACAAGAAGACTAATGCCCTCAAAACAGAGGAGGCTTTCGCCCAGCAGTTGGAAACATATAGGTTGTTCCTTTACTTTAACTTTTTTTAAAGTATCTGCAGTATTTTTTAAAGTTTCAGTTATGGAGACTGTAACAAATCTTAGAAGGATTTACTCCACTTGCTGAACTTTATCGTTGACATATTACTATGTTTCGTAACAACAAACAAGCCCAATTTTAATTTGAAGGATCTCGCCTTTCGACTTTGACCATCTGGCTGGTACGAACAGATGCGCCCGCCCTAAATGCGTCGCGTCACAACTGTGACCGTTCGCCCATCCGCCGATTTATTGAAAAACCGCCCAAGTGCGAGACGGACTCGCGAACTAAGGGTTCCGTAACATTACGAATAAAACGACAAAGAAAATCGTCTCCGATGTATGTGAGCCCCACTTAAATATTTTTTTATTCTGCTTTTAAGTGTGATTGTACTCTAAGCGTGCGTAATTATTTCAAAAAACAATTGATAAAAGATGGTAGGCGTATTGATTTATTCGGGGGTTTTTTCGGCAACGACATTTTCTACCAGTCTATCCTTCTAATGCCTTACTATTAAAAGTCGTAATACTAATACTATATGGTGAGTCACCATATAGTGTTAGTATTACGACACACCTATGGTGACCCTGGAGTTTTTGCTTTGATTCTCGCTATACATTTTTATGTGAAAAGCTAATACGACGCTCGAATTTTACAACAGTCATAAAATCGAGTTGAACCACTAAATACAGCCATAAATAATTATACGACGATTCTTTTAGAAAACGCATTCATAAAAATTCAGCAAAGTTCACTGAACCTACTAATGAGTCTTGCGCCATAAAAAATAGCACATAGCATTCGGCTATGGCCATGCAAACTAAGGCTATTTTTTAATTATTTCAATTCATTTTTATTTATTATTTCTCAGAGTAACCTTCACACTACACATTGTAAAATTATAGATAGTCTGCGCAGGTACAGGTTACGAATGAAGTTATAACGTTCCCATAGTCACGGATAATTGGAGATAATTCAAAATAGAAATAGTGAAGAAGCCTCGTTTGCTGGTTTGTTCTCAAAACTTGCTTTTAAAAAATATTACATGTACATAAAAATACAAACTCTTCTACTATATAGAATATATGTAAGTTGTGTTTCTTCTCTTTCTAACCAAAGTGCAGGTGAAATATCTTTTACAATTCCTCAATAATAATCCTTAATTATTTGAATTAAATGGTTGATGAATTAAAATAAGGCACAGCAAAACGTCACAAACTCAAATAACACCGCATGTGGATCGAAAATTGAATCGCGAATAATGAAGAACAAAAAAACGTAAAAACCGAATGCTCAACGACAGATACCGACAGTCATGAAAGGCTTAGCCTTATTCAATTAAAGCAAACGCGGGAGCTGTCAGTGCGTCTCTAACGATTTTCCCGCTAAAATATCTGTCATGCAACACGGAAATCTCGGCGTGTGCAAACATTTCGCTGGAACCAGCTTTCCGGGGGGATGGGGGGGCCTGGGTGGTGCGCGGGAGGGGTAATAGAGCTGTCAACGCCACGGCCGCTCTCAACACTTGGAGTTGCAAACCAGGGAGGCTTACAGGAGCCAGGGACAGGTGCCCGTTCCATCGAAAACGAAAATTGATGGTGCACTGTGAAACAGCTAAGTGTACCCACTTTTAATCTGTGACCCTGTGAAAGAAAATGGCGGGAAAATTTTACCCGTCCACATATTATCTTTAGGAATTTTAAAAAAGAAATTGCAATGTATGAACAGAGATTATGTGAAACATGTCTCTGTTCATAATAAATGTTAAGCTATAAAACGGTGTTGCTATCTCCAATGATTCAGTACATTCGTTTTGTTGAAAGGTCATAGGTAAGAGATTATTCTATTAATTAAAACTATCCTATTATAGTTCTCTACGACCACAAGATAAGGAATACCTAAATACCTTATATTGTGACCGTATTACTAATACTACACTGTCTATCTGTCTGTTCATCTGTCACTGGGCTGTATCTCATGAACTGTGATAGTTAGACAGTTGAAATTTTCACAGATGATGTATTTCTGTTGCCGCTATAACAACAAATACTAAAAAAGTATGACTTAAGTGGGGCTCCCATACAACAGACAGGATTTTTCTGCTGTTTCTGATTGATAATGGTACGGAACATGACATGATTTTATAGTAAACAGTCGTTTTTATCGATTTTGCCTCGAAGTGCGGGCCGGACTGAAAACCGGTGTCGGGATCAGAACTAGTTACTGTATCTCGACTTTTACCGAGTCCCGTCCGTTTCACGGGCTTATGCTGCTACACAGACCGTCACCTACTGTTGTTATTTTGTTTGTTTTTTTGTGTTTACTTTAAGTTTCTGTGTACTTACATTATTATTTTTAAGTATTGTATGTATTCATTTGTTTTTAGACCGTGAATAAACGTTTCTTCTTCTTCTTCTAACACGCTAAAGTATCTATATTTGCAAAAGTACGGAAGGCTAAAACTTCGCACCGCTCCCAAAGACCGTTACAGCGAATTCCGTCGAGTGGCAACACTCACGGGCATAAGCTCAAAATCTAACCTGCGAAAACTGACGTTTTAATGAAAAACCCCCGCCACCCGCACCGACCCCCCCACCTGTGAGTTTCTCACGGCACATTATCTAGGCACGGCAGCCGGCAGTTTAGTTGATTGGATTGCTTTTAATCAAAGTTTTGCCCGACGAACGCGCGTGCCGCTGACAGCTCGATTATGGCGGCAGCCCGCGTTTGTGGCACACACCCGATTATGGGCAAAAACTGTGCCGCCGTTGTCAACGGCAGCGTGGCGGGGCGAGCTTTGAGGTCGGATGGATATTGTTGCGCGCCATTTTTGAAACGGTAGACTGTTCCACCTCCTCTTTGGTTTGTCGATGGTTTTCGATTTCTTTTTTTTTTCTTAATGTGGCAAAAGTGGCAAACGAGCTGGCGAGTCACCTGATGTTAAGTAAAAACCGTCGCCCATGGACATTTGCAACACCCGTAGGGATGCAAATGCGTTGCCACGCTTAAGTAAAATGGGCCCCGGCTACCTCACTCACCAAACGAAAAGCAGAACTGTAACACTTCTACTTTACGCCGGTCTTCTGTGAGGTCGTGGTACTTACCCGGACGGACCTGCTCATTCGTGCATCTGTGGAAACTGCTGCGTGACCCTACCACAGTACATGGAACACACTGCTTTGTATTTCGAAGGGTTAGCGACTTTGCAGCGTTTCATCAGAAACGAACACCATCATAAACACTTGCTAGTTTTAAGCTATCAAAGAATTCATAAGACTACGGACAATAATTGTGATGAGTAATTTTGAATTTATGAGTGAACGGTATAAAACACGTACGATCAAACAGTTCGCCCTTCGCCGTAGACGGATTGGAAAGACATTTTACAATAAACACCGCTTAAAATTTGACAATGTTCAATCGGCAGAGTTTTTAGACGCTGAAAAGTTTTGGAAAATCATTCTACCTACCTAGGAACTGTAAAACTGGTAACTACGAACGTATTAATTTTTATGTGAAATTTTGACATATAGAATAAATATATTTTTATTTTTGATTTGATAAAGAACACATAATTATGACCACTGTAACTTTCATAGTATTTTATATTTTAATGCAGCTGCAACTCCAATTGCTTCCTAACCGCACTGTTTGAAGTTTTCGATATGGAAACGATATTGTTTTAAACTTAAAAACTTTATTTGACCCATAAAACAAGTTTTGTACACCGCAGAAAAATGCCCTCTTCGGTGTCTTTAAGCGATAAGACACAATAAAGGAACGATTGCTCTTAAAAGGCATCCGAGCTGTTACGATCTGATTATAAGCCTGGACACCCACCCCCTCTGGAGGGTAGGGGCGTTACTCGTCAGCAAACAGCATTAATCATGTCACACCTGCTGAGGGCGCCACTTGTGCGTAGGCCTAATGACAAGTCTAAGAACGTGTTGATTTAGATTTTTTTTATGTGGGGAAGGGGCAAACGAGCTGGCGGTTCACCTGATGTTAAGTGATAACCTGCCCGTGGATATTTGAAACAGTCGTAGGGTTGCAGATGCGTTGCCACATCTTAATAATGTGGGCCCCGGC